ATTTCTGTATTATTTCGCTTTGTAAGTTTATGAATATTTGTCTTTTTAGCGTGAAAAATAAAACCGTTCGTTATTGTGAGTGGTGTGTACTTCATGTAACATTTAATATACAGTCCCCAAATACAAGTATTGAAGGCGCGTGGGTTGGTCGTCAACAAACATTGAAACGAGGCCGATAGGCGTGAACACATACTGTCAGTATGCTACATGCCTCATCACTCTTTTGTCATATGTTGGTGTAAACACATAGTCATGATCATGTATAACAGTGGTCTGAGTTATCTGAGTTCAAGCAAATGTTTTTGGAATGCAAATGTTTTACACTGACACAATCGATCATCTCTCTTTGCAGCACACCCTCTCTCTGTTTGTTGGCATCTCTCTGCAATATCCACATACACAGAAGGGCGCATTCAACTGCTCAACTTCTTCCCTTTATGACACTGGTCATGTCATAGCTGCTCCACCAATTGAAAACCCTCCTTTGCTACTTTGACAATGATCTCGCTATCAAAACCATCAATTATCTCCTAAGTAACAAAGGGACAACTAATAGTTAGGATATATCATATAAAGTCAGTTCACAACAAATCTGTACCAATATTTCTGGACCTTGTATGGTATAGTACAACTCGTTTGAATCATAATTTGTAAACTAGCGATAATTCTGTGAATTTGAAATAATGATTTATACATAATCGCCCCTGACTATTTATAGTCAGACGTCAGTAACACTAAATAATACAAAATTGCTATTCATAAAGATTAAAGCACAGTACATATTACAACACGTGCATTCATCAAACCTTCTGGATTGTCTATGATCAAACATGTTATCGCTGTAGTGTACATTTATACAGCTTGCTCATATCAAAATGAAATAAAATACAATCAAGCAATACCTCCACAGACACCTCGCTTTGATCTGCTTTGGTCAACTTTCGCTCAGGTTCATGCATTTGTGGCCAGTAATATATAGAAACGAAAGCTGTCAATATCATATATGATATATAAACACTGGCTATAGGCTGCTTGTGTCAAAATCAGATTAATATTTCAACTCAATATTACTCAAATACATATACCTTTATTCCTTTATATGTTTACATGGTTTATTCCTCGTAGCAGAAGACGTACACGCCTCCCCACACTGCGCATCGCTTCCGCTACAAGGTCTGCCAGTTCAGTCAGTCGCCTTTCCATTCGTAGAGGTCTTTAATTAACTTGCGCATACATTGCGATTTACAGTCACAGTTTATCATCGGTACGTTGAGCGATCATCTGTGCAAAGTGCAAACAGTGTTAAACTTTATAATTATTAATTGAGCCGAATTTTATAGCAATTTGGATACTTCCTTTAACTACATTAATATCCAAAAATACAATCTTACCTCGCTAGACTCGTCTAAATCAGATGTTTCGTCTTCAGGCGATGAACTCACTTCCTTCGCTTTGTAAAACAGAGCCGAACTCTTCGAAACTTCGTTTACTGCGTACGCCATATTTGTTTGTATTATAGCGTGAAACCTGAGCCGCTAGTCATATCAATCAATCAACAGCGGTATTCTAGGTCACGTGGGGTGCTGCATTTTGCCTTTAAGAAGAATTTAAAGTCTGTCGTAGCGGAAGGCAAGTCATGGGAAGATTCGATGAGTCAAATATTCATGGCTTATAGGTCTACTCCTCATTCAGGAAGCGGTGAAACTCCAGTTAAATTAATGTTTGGCAGAGAAATTCGAACAAAGTTGCCGGAAATTGATTTGGAAAGTGGTAATTGCAAGTCGAAAGATAATGTTCACTTCAAATACAAAACTTATCAGGCACGTATGAAAAAATATCATGATAGGAAATGGCATGTATCCGAGCATAAGTTCAAAGTAGGAGATAAGGTGTTCATAGTAAATCGAGCACAAGGTAAACTTGAATCGAAGTTCTCGGATATCCCATATGCTATTAAGGAGCGGGTAGGAAAAGATTCGTTTAAGGTAGTAAATATTTCAAATGGCAAAGTGTATGTTCGTAATCAAAAGCATTTAAAGCACATTTCAGAAAATAAGGAAAATAAATATAAAATTGATGATAGGGATAGCACATATGTAGAGTTTGATATTGATGATTCTGTAAATGATAGTGAGCTTGTTCCCGAAGAAAATAGTTCTAGTGATGTCGTAATTAAAGGGAAAATTAGTAAAAAAATTGTTAAAAATATTCCTAGTTTAGAAAATGAACAACAAGAAAAGAACGATAAACGGGTAACGACCAGATCAGGTCGTACTGTAAAGCCTAATAAAAAAAATGATTTCCTATATTATACATGTAAATAGTTAGTAAGTACTTATAATTTGTAATAGAATTAACTAATTTAAATTCCAGGAGATATGTAGTGTAGTTAGTAGACTGGTGACGTATGACGTCACCATGGTTATGTATATAAGCGTGTGGTTATTCTTTATTAAAGGCATTATTAGTACATAGCAGTGACTTACGACACTACAACAACAAGTACACTACCAAGTACTGAATCACTGTTTGCAAAGAACTGAATTAGCCTATATCACCACCATAATTCAAGCTTATTTTTAAAGTCAAATAGTTTCTCCCTGGATAAAAGTAGTTTTTATGGAGTTAAAAATAGGGCAAGTACGAATATAAAGAAGGTCACGTTGCACTTGTATATATCACTTGGAAAAAGATATACATATAAAACAGGTAAATTTGTACGGCGAAATTAAACTGCTGCAACAAAGTTTTTATTTTTACTTTCACGTCCTTATTCCAAAGCAAACATTTCTAAGTTGGAAATGCCTAAAATTGTGAGCGTAGAAACCCTAAAGAAACAAAGAAAACGACTTCATAACACGAGTAGTTTTGGCAAATTTGGTGTTTGTTTTTAGAATTCAGTCACGCGATTAACCCGCGCTCACGTGCACACCACGCGTACGTTTCTCGCGCATGCGTAGACGAAAGTCCACTCTGTTTTATTACCCATTTACAACAATAGATCGCTGACCAACTACATGCAAATGCTCAGCTTACTTTGACAATTTTTTTTTATTGACCCATACAGACAATTTTATACTTTGACAATTTTTAATGTGACAATACACTTCAAGTGTATTTGTGACAGTAAAAATTGGAAAAGTTGCGTATACAGATGAGCAAATAGAATTTGCCACATAAAACTTGTCATAGAAAACTTGCTCGTCTGTAACCGTTTTTATAAAATATGTTAATCGCATTAATTGTACATTCTTTATCTATATTTATTATGTAGCTAATGATGCCTTCTATATAGTATGTGTAAATTACTCTCATATAGGCTATATGCCATAAAGTCTCCAGTCTGATTTCTAAAGCGAAAATAGTCTACTACGAAAGTAAAGCCAAAGACCATCGTAAATCAAACCCTATAGTAAATGGTTTAAATCCATTTCCTCACTAGTTGGCATGGATGGTATATCCAACCTTCCGGTAAACGGGTGCCAAAACTACGATCTTTCTGAACCGACCGAGAAACTACAGGCTGTTTTTACCTCCCCTTGGAATGGAATGATGTTAGATAATGCTGCTAGTTATGACCTTAATAGTGTGCAACACCATCTTAGAGAAACCGATCCCCCCATACCATCGATAGGTCAGGTGAAAAAAGCCCTTAATACATTAAAGGTGAAGAAGGCGACTGGCATTGATGGAATCCCTGCGTGGTTCCTAAAGCAGTATAGTGAAGACTTAGCTCCCGTAGCACATAACATCATCACGAGCAGTATAATTCAATGTAAATACCCCACCTTGTACAAACAAGCTCTAATAACCCCTGTGCCTAAAACTACTCCACCAAAAAATATTGAAACTGATTTTCGTCAAATTTCTGTGCTTCCACAGATAGCTAAAGTGCTGGAAAAGATTCAATTGCAACTAAATTGTGCAGACCTAACATTAAAAAACAACCAACATGCATTTCTCAAGGGCCGTTCTACAACCTCAGTATTGACTGAAATGTCCCAAAATAGTTTGACGAAACCGAAAACACTGCGCACGGCAGAAAAGGCATCCATGCCATTTTCATTGACTTTAGCAAAGCGTTTGATTTGGTGGACCATCGAATCCTCCTTTCTAAATTGGCCTCTATGAACTTAAATAAATCCTTTTGGCTGTGGATTAGAGATTTCTTATCCATGAGAAGTCAACAGGTTAAACTACTTCAAATGTTGTCATCATCCGCCCCATGCCCAGCTGGAGTTCCGCAAGGCTCGGTCATCTCTCCTATGCTATTTAATGTATACATCGACGATTTAGAGGACGAAAATCCTGCGAACCTAACCGTCGATACCTCGAAGTATGCCGATGACTGCACACTCGATCAAGCAGTTGGAGCCGGGGGAATAAGCCATGTCCAACAGGCTTTAGACATTATCCAGAATTGGACAGTGTCGAACAATATGACTATCAACGTCAAAAAAACAAAGGACATGTGGATATGCTTCACGGAATCAGTATTGGAACCTCCTCCTATTTATATCGGTGATGAATTAGTTGAAAGAGTGGACAAATTTAAAATACTTGGAATGGGGCTTCAAAACAACCTCAAATGGAACAATCATGTTGAAACTATTATACAGAAAGCTAACCGTCAAGTATATATCTTAAGAGAATGCAGGAAAGCCAATCTATACCTGTGGAAGTAGGTATTACCCTTTATAAATCCAATATTAGATCTATCCTTGAATATGCCTCCCCTGTTTGGGGTGGCCTTCCAACCTATCTGATTAATGAAATTGAACGAACTCAGACCCGCTGCCTCAGCGTTCTAGGTTGTAACAATGACTGTCTACAAAGTCTCTCTGATCGAAGAGAAGAACTCCTGAAACGTGAAGCGCGAAAGATTATGAATGACGCTTCCCATCCTTTACATACAAGACTCTTTAAATCAAATAATCCCTATGATTTACGGACAATTAGTAGCAAAAACACATTATCGCGAACGGAAAGACATAAATGTTCCTTCTTAGCCCGTGCAAGTGCACTTACGTAGGTTTACTTAGTTGTTTACATATATTGTCTGTATATATTTTAATATTTTTATCTGTATATATATATATATATATATATATATATATATATATATATATATATATATATATATATATATATATATATATATTTCTAACATACCTTAATCAAACTGTAAATCCATTGTACTTTTATACTTAAGATGGATAAATAAAGATTATTATTATTATGTTTGAACTAAGTATTGAATAATTGATCGACTCACGCCTATATAGGAACTTAAAGCAACAAGCATAAAACTGATATAGAGTTATCCAGTATAAATAAAATAACTTTAGTCAAGTTGTATATGCATTTGTCTGCTTTACGATTTATGCAGGCGTTTCATATTTTCATCTCGTCCCTCCCATGGATAGCGTATATAGACCCAGCCTGTCGGTGTGTGGGCGCTTACCGCGTGTATGCCGTCAATGGTCGACCTCAAAGAGTGCACGCAAATTTGTGAATAGTGGGCCGATCAAGTCGCTGTCGTCATTTGGCGTTGTATGGTATTTGTGATATATGTGTTTTATATGGAAATATATATAAGCGATAAATTTAGCATAGCACTCAAACAGCACATTAGAACGTAAGCAACTATCTATCATTCATTAAGTATACTTTGCTGATATTATCCATGCATGCATATAAACGGGAAAAACCCGGATTGGAAGCAGACGGATCTGAAAACTGGACGTTCAAAAACGGCCAATTCTATATTTATACCGAAAACAACTAAACTGTTGTCGAGAGATGTCAAATAAGGGTTTCATTACCAAATATTTCGGACACGATTGTTCCCACATATAAATAAACTCTTCAATTCAATATGGTGCCGTATTTTTTGCTATAATTTACATCGGGTAAAAACTGCACCTCTTGTTGACAAGAAAAAATCTTATTGGAGTACTTGAATTGAAATTTAGCGCATGCAATCATTAGTCAGTGAAATTTTTGCAATCTCCATTTTTGTAAAGTTCTTTAAAAGCTTGTTTTGTATCAATATTTCTGCTGCAGCAGAATGGATTAAAGGGTCCCTACAGTCATTTTTTAGTCAAGTAAGTATTGTTTACATTTTTTGTTATTTTCGCTACTTGACTTGCGCACCACAGCATGCATGCGACTTCCGGTGAGCGGAAGTACTCATACTCATGGATACTGCATGTAAGATACAGCCGAACGAATCTCTGTGGAGTCCCCTTCTTAAGGTGGCTTTTCGACTAAAAAATGACTGTATGCCCCTTTAAAACTCAGTAAAACCATTTTTATTTATACTTGTTACAATCTTGACCTTATTCCTTGCGACCATTCCAGCTATTGCCAAGTTAATTAATATACAATTGACAAAATAACCTTGGTGCCCCCCTCTCCTCCAGCTCAATGTATGAATAGCGCCGAAATAACTCTTGGTAATTCATCATGGCACAAGCTCAACATTGAACATTCATACCAGGTATGTCCAAAATTGTAGCTCTATTAATTCTTTTTATAGATCGTCCTCCCTAGAAGTCCAGCCAAAGTCCGGTCATGTGTCTGTTGGTACAGTATTTATACAAGAGGAAACTTTTTTGAAACTACTCGATGGATCGACCGAGCTTCATCAGTTAATTAAGCAGTTAAGAAATTGGGCCTACCTGTTTAGAAATATATAGCAAGGACGTCACTTATTGCTCAAGTATTGCTACAAGATGTAAACTGACGAACTATACTTCTTTCAGTATAACTGCAGATAGAACATTTGACACTATACATTGAGATAATATAGTTTTCAGTTGCTTTCAGATATATTCTGCCATTTTTCTATATATTCATTCTTCCACCCCTCCTTATGGTGAACAGACATTGGATTTTTATATATATAGAATCAACATACTGTAAACGGGGCCACTGTGGCGCTTGGTCCATAAGAAAATAAAGTAAAATTGCAGTTCATATTTCGCAATGTTCGGCAAAGGTTTTAACTGTTTCAGTTCTCTCCAAATCCTGTCTTTCCTAGAGGTGCAGACGTTTGAATCAGTGATAAGAAAAAGATTCGATTATTGATACGATAAGAGTAAGACAGTTGTTAAAAAAAAACAGTCACTGATAAATAGCGCGCATACTGACGAAATATTTATATAATTAATTAAAAAAAAAGGAAATTTGGCATTAAAGTTATCAGATCATAAAAATATTATAGATCAGTTTAAGTCAGTGGTTAAAATTTTGATGGACAGCTTTCAGTATCATCCACACGATTTTATTCGTTTAATATATAATATTGAAGCAGGGAGCCCATATTTCAATGGGGCCATGCGTGGATTTCAATGGGGCCATGCATAGATTTCAATGGGGCCGTGCATAGATTATAATATTAGTATCATATATATAATAGTATTAGTATAATATTACAATACAGACAAGTAGAAAATGAAGTAAAAATTTAATATATTAAAACAAATTGTCAGAAATATTAATAAAGCTAGAATTAAAATCTTTTTAGTGATTGGCTGACGATTTCAAATACTTTCGCTCCACTCATTCAGAGAATGGTAGAAATAACGTTGCTTACCGCAGTTCAGCTTAACTTTCCCTTACCTTGGTCTTTGTCTATTACTACACGTATCGATATGTTTATTCAACAAAAATTAAATTATTATATCTTTATCAATTAAACCGTTCATATTCATAACGTTTCATATTCATAAACCGCTCATAACCGTTATAACCGGCCATAACCGTTCATATTCATAACGGTTCATAACCGTTCATATTCCCAAACCGTCCATATTCATATATTCATAAATCTTGATCAATTAAACCGTCATATTCATATTAACCAAATGTTGTTTTTATGCAGAATGGAATATGATTGGATAAAGTGCCGCCGCTTTACAAAAGAGGTCATCGTAACATGCCAGAAAATTATAAACCGATTTCAGTTTTACCAGGTACCAGCAAACTGATCAAAGTAAAAAAAATGATTTAGTTAGTGAATGTCGATTCGACTTAAAAAATTCACTCCACTTTGCACTGACAGCGGGTATGTAAATTTAGATAGAAAAATGTTTAAATCAACGTAACAGTTAAACAATAATTTTATTGAAAGTGACGTTCAAAAATCTTAATTAGAGTGACAAGGGTGATGAATAAATTTAGATTAAGCTATTATATTGCAAGGTATTAAATAACAGACATGCACAGACAACAAGGAAATGAGAGAGGGGGGGGGGGGAGGAATTGGAGAAGGAAGACAGGAATTAGAGCAGGAAAAGGAGAACACAACGGTTTATTAATATATATAGGAATGCTGGTTTGAATTTGGAAATTAGAAGACTTTCGGAAGTAAGAAGTTCACTATAGTTCGAGTTGGCACAAGATGAAAGAATTTTTAAAGTGATTATAGTGATGGAACGGCTCAGTGTAGACAGTCGTTTTGAGAGATTAGTTCTGTGTCTTTAGATATACGAATATTGGCGAATAACCAGATTTGGACGGAACCGCTCTTGATTGATGGTTAGAAATGCTTCCCATTTCGTGTAAATGGCATTTTGGATTATATATTGTAAATAACAAATTGTGATAAATTCATTACAGTTTAATTATGTGATTCTACTGTGAGTTTGATTGTATAACAGAACAATAGTAAATCTCCGGGTTCATACATCTTATTATATCAAATTATATATTGCATCAGTAAATATATAGAGACAATTTATCCCACAGAAAGGAATATCAAGAATTGCTTTCTTAATATATTTGTCTTATTTTCTGCATAGGGAAACTAATTCCTTGTGTTAATTTTAATCCTAATAATAATTATTTGGATGCTATTTCTATCCCTATACTTCTCAGTTTATAATGCTATCGCGATTACATTTCCAGATATTTCTAAGGGATAAGTCATCCCAACATTTTCAAGTCACTCAAGGTTTGTTTTTCAATGTTTGTCCTAACTATACCTTTTCCGTCACCATGTGCGAAAGTGGAAGTACTGTATTTAGTCGTTTAGACAAGGAAACGCCCTTGAACTTTTCAGTGGTACGGATGCTTAGCCTATTAGAGGCGGCGCTTGTTTGATAGCGGCGCTCTTTATAAAATATTTTGTTTGTAAGCGATGACAAGAAATGTAAGCAACAAATCATAAGATTGCAACCGTTGTATGCATGACACTTAATTCATCCAGTTATGGATTTAGTGATCGAAACGTTCGGTTATCTCATTTTCATTGCTTTGAAATTCTTGTTGTTCTCCAATATTTTAACATATCTCTTGGCATGCTTATATATAAAGGAGCTATTAGTTGAAAGGGAATTGATAGAGCTTTCCAAAACTCTTGACATGCATAAAAACTAAGTAGGTCTATTTCAAGAAACCAGATGTCAGGAAATGCCAGTCCAGTGTTGATCCTTCCAGATTTTTCTACACCTACGCTGTTAATGTTATTATTATCTGAGCACATTACGTGCAATCGGTTAACCAATAACAATAACATGGGCGATAAACGACCACAGATGTAAGCACACTTACGCGCCTGGAAACAAAGACGTGCCTTAAATCGAGCTCACGTTGCTTAGGTATCCGGCTTGTGATGTACAAACGCCCTTGAAGCATCGAGGATATATAAATACATCAATATATCTCACAAGTCAAATAA